GATCTATGCATAAGCATTTACCGACTCTGTTTTAACTGTGCTAAAATTTATATGTATATTTTTTTTTATCGATGAATGTCAATGTCGGAGTGTACACACCTCGACTAACCTCACACGATATTCCCCCAACCTACTACATTTGGTTGCCTAGGAAATTTGTAGGATAATCTTAAATAGGTGGCCACTATGACTTGAACCTATTCTCACCAAGCCATTTATTATTGACCTTGATCCTAATTGACTAGTAGGCCATATATGGTAGTTTTTTTTTTTTTTTCTTTCTGAATAAGGCATTTGTTTCCCTTTAATGTAAACACACGCTGAATCATTGAACCAGAATTGAATGTTAACTTTTAGAAAATTTTTAAACATATGTAATCATGCATAATCTTTTGGTCAGTCATACTACTTATACACTTAAGGCCCAATTGCATTTGTTGAAATTTCAGTGTTCTATTATTCAGGTCTTAACAGAGACTGACCATTGCTATTGTGTACTTCTCAATGCACATGGTGGTGCAGCTTTTCCCGGAAAGGACAATGCAGAAAATTGCAATTCTAGTAATCTTGTGGCCTCATGTACGGATTCTGATCCTCAAAGTATGAAGGATTCCAAGGTTTGAGTTGCTTCACTTTCCAGCTGTCTAGCTACTATTATTTACTTGTTATCAAGAGCTACTGAATTGTCCAAGCATTGCGGATCATTTGAATCTCAATTAAATTATAAATAAAACCTTCATGTTAATGTAAAAAACATAATGTTGCCCTACTTCATGCTTGTTTATGTTGAGTTGCTTGAGCTAAGCCATTAGTGAAATTGTAATTCAAACCAAGAGGCATATGATAGAGCCATAAAGGACTATATTTATAGAGTTTATTGATAGGACTAGTACTTGGAGGGTCTTCCTTCTTCTTCTCTCTTTAAGAAATTTAATCCGCTATCTTCTTCTCTCTTATAATTTGGATAGCTTTATAGATGTTTTTACTTGAATGATTGTAGAGCTTTTCTTATTGTTATCCCTGACATATTTTCTCAAGGGGGTGCTAGCTACACTGTATGGACTATATGGATGATGGGGAATACTTATTATGAGTAACCCATCTTGCAGAAAAGGGAGTTCTCATTAAATATTCTAAATTTAGTTTCCCTTGGAAGTCAATTTTTTCCTTTTCAATGATCTGTAAATGCATATTTTAAGCAAGCGGAAGATTCGAACTTTGCGAAATATGAGTATTGACATGATCCATGAGATCCCCTCATGAGTATTGGATAATGAATACTCACATCGTTCTAAATGCTGCAGATTACTCTTTTCTCTGGATTTGTCAGCTACCAAATGGTTCGAGATGCATATGACGGTATATATATCTAAAATATCTTTTTTTCTACAATGTGGTATAACATTTATCATTCTTAGTTTTCAATTCTTATTCAATGGGGAAGAACTTTACTTCGTTCAAATTTATCCAGCCTATTTGTTGATATGGGGTGTTGCATCAAATCATTGTTTCCCAGTATGATATAGGATGTACGACATAAGTAACTAATGCCTTATTGATTCTCTGAGCTAATAGTGGATGTTTTATCTGTTAGTTTGAATAGCACAGACGTTTTCTACTAATTCTAGAGTTTAAGCTAGCCTTCCACTTGATACCTTTTTCTTTAATATTTATTAATCAAATATCGAAGTTGATGTATACAATCTATCTGCAACTCTTTTATTCAACCACTTTGATGGACATATCCCATTAAGAGAAACTAGAGGACTCTTCAATGTGTTCTTTTGTCCTTAGAAATTGAAAGAAGGCTGTGATGCAATTTTTCCTTTCCATTTTCCATCTTGTTCTCTTATCATCATAAGGTAGACTTCATTTATATGACGTTTCTGCTGAATTGTTTATAATTAGTTTGACGAAGAGAGAAATTCCTGATAAACAGTATTACATTTAATGTGGTTTTCACACTTGGTGGATAAATGCGTGGCTTTGTTATCCCCTTAGAGATAACTTTGTTGAATCGATTGATATCGTTCATATATGAAAAATATGTATATATATTTTATTGTAGTGATATTTTACTATTGCTATGTGGTGGCTGGATCATAGTTCAATAGTAGTATACTCCCGTCTATGCATATGGTTTGTATCTTACGTAGCCTTTTGCAGAAGCGATTTTTATAGTTTACTTTTCCAAAGTTTATTTTTATCAGAGAGACTAGGTGGTAAGAGATTAAGTTTCTCACTGTCTTCCTTCTCTCTTGCACTTATTGACAGTTGGCAAGTCTAGATTTGGCAGCCTTCTCTCTCTTGGTCATTCTTCTGGCAAAATAGACAAAATTTACATGAAGGGACCTGGAGGACGTGGGGAAGTTGAAGTTGCTGTTTCTGGTGTTGCTGGTAGGTTAGGAAATAGTCTTTTCAATGTTATCAAGCCTTTTATTCTTCTAATTGAGTAATAGTACTCAATATTTTCTTTAACTATAGCAATTGAAGATAAATTATCTTTGCACCTTTTGTTAGTCCCAACTCCTCCCTGGCTCTTCCTCCATTAGAAGGGACGGATACCATTATGATGTTATGAGGCATTTTTTATTCTTCTCCTTCTTTTTAGTTTATCAAAAAATTCTGGTTTTGAACCAAATGATCCCCAAAAGTTATCCTCGTAGGAAGCTTATTTTAATGGAAAGTCTTAATTTATTACGATTGTAGTAACATAACATTTGTAGTATCAGTTTTGGTAAGCGGGGTGAGAGAATGAGCATTGGATTATTTGAAGATTTATTGCAGTTTAAGTTATTTTATTGGGTGAATAATATTATGCCATCCTCTTTTCATATGGGTGATAGTTAATCTCATCTGTCTAATTATTGTCTTATATGTGTTTGTATTATAATATCAGATCAAAGCCTGCAGGATTCTGGGCCCTTTTCACCCGTAGTATCAAAAAGAGGATTTGGGATTGGCACCATAGTTAGAAAAGCAGCATCTGTAGCAACTGTTGCTGCAAAACAAGCTTATGCAGCTGCTAGTAGCACTAGTTCTGATGACGAGATGATACCTCTCAAGTGTTGCTTGATGTCCATTTCGTTGCCGTGGGAATACATTGCACACGATCTTTTGTTCAAGGTTAGTTCATTATTAACCATCGTAACTTTGCATTATCCATATTTCACCACATTTGATCTCAGGAGGTGGGTTGTGGATGTCAGACTTGGGAATTAGATTGGTATTGATTCTTTAGGATTGGTCTGGTAATATTTATGTTTCTTCTTATCTCTTATTTCTCATTTTCTTTTTTCTGTTAAAATGTCTTTGATAAAATAAGAGAGAGGTTTTGATCCTGGGATGTGGTTTATGGATGTCAAAATTGGGATTGAGATTGGTATTGATTTTGTAGGATTGTTCTGATAATATTTATTTTTCTTCTTTCTTGTATATTTCTCCTCTTTTTTTAAAAAAAATTGTTTTTAAAGAAACAAAATACGTTTGTCAGAGGAAGATTTTTATTTTCCCTTGAAAAAGTAATGAAAACAATAATTTCACCAATATTTTGTAAAATTAGAAATAAGAAACTAATTTCTAATTTTA